ATACATGAAAATTCTTTTATGATATCAATCGAAATACTAATTAGCTAAAATTTTAATATGTTGTTGATCTCTAGCAGAGCTTCTCAACGAACCCAACTTCATAACGAAATGTAGCGAAAACTCATATTTAGCAAGTTACGCTTATTTTTGTGTATTTGATTTCACTTTAATTAGAAAAGGCTAGTTTATTATTAATAATAACTTATTTTTGGTCAAAACACTTTCTTTTTTGAATATATGTTCTAAATATCATTTAAATATTGCTAAATATTAAAATCAAATTCATATCTACATTGTCAATTGTTATAGTGAATTTAAGGTTTAAATCAGTTTGTATTCGTGAGAAAAGAACGACAAAGATAGTAGATTTGAGCTAAGTAGTCAGCTTGGAATCGAATTTTAATATTAGAAAAAATAATATTACTTATAATTAAAAAAATATTTAACACTAAAAATATTCAATATTACAATAATTCAGTTTTAAATTTTATTTTTAATTGAAATAGCCTTTAATGATTCTTTCAATATAATCTAATATATTAATAATAATAAAAGAAAAATAAAATAATATAACAAAGAATTTCTAATTCTAAAATTATCTTTTTTATAATTTTCGTAAGATTAATAATAATAATTATTTAAATATATATTAATATGTCTAATATATTAACTAATACTATTATTTAATAATATATGTATTTAAACATTTTTCAATTTATTATAATTAGACAAGAATAATATTAAGAATAATGCTAATATAATTTTATATTCAAATTATAATATTTAGCATTCTCTAAAAATCAGGAATAATATCTGATTATTCAAATATAATTAAAACAATTATTATTCTAATAACAATATTTAAAATAATATTTATTAATTACTATATTGTTCATATTTAATAATTTGATATTTAAAACAATTCAAAATATTTCATAATTATTTATTAATTATTATTAGTTATTGCTCTAAAACAGTTATTTTTCATTTGTAATATTTCTGACTAAATTTTTATTTATGAATATTAGTAAAATGTTGATAATAAAATAGTAATTTTTAGTAAATATATTAATAAAATTATTATATCTTAATATATTAATAAATATTATATAGAAGTATTATTTAATATTAATTTAAAAAAAATAAAAGGTTTGAAATATTATGTAAGGTTGGTTTTTTATAAATTGGTTAGGTTAAGATATTAATTAATAACAATAACTAATTTATGAAAATATATAACTATTAAATATCCCTCAAGAATTTAAAGCAATAATTAAATACTTTATAAAAATTAAGGTTTAATAGAAATTTTTTATTAATAATGAAATTAAGAGAGATTTATTAAAATTAATATAAGTAATTAGATTATTATGTTATTTGCTAAGATAGTTAATAATATTACGAAGTTTATAATAATTAATTTAATTCCTATTTATACTATTTCTAAAACTACTAATTATTGATACTATTTAATTAATATAATTTAATCTTAATATATGTATAAATATATAAAACTAAATAAAATATATGAATAAAGTATTATTGATAAAAAATCTGATAATAAAAGCTAATATATAAATTATTATTAATTTATAAAAATAAAGAATTACCATCTGTGATTTTAGATTTCCAATTATATGATTATTTAATACACTAATTAATTAATTATCTATATAATAATTATTCATATCTTTAATTTTTATGCTATTTTCTATATATTTAACTATAGATAAAATAGATTATAAAAGTATTTTTAAATCTTTAAAAATTTTTAGAATTCTAAGGAATTCTTTAAAATAATATAATAATTATTTCATCTAAAAATTATAATAATTAACTCATAATCCTCATATAAACTTATCTAAAAAATTAATATGACTAATATAATTATTTTAAATAATATTTAGAATTATTATTAATACTATACTTAATTCTACAAATTTTGTATTATTATGGTTAATAAAATAATAATTGATATATAGATTTTAACTATATAATTTCTAATTTTATATATAGTGCCCTTCTAAATAATTAAATTATATATTATATATTTTAAAGTGGTTTGAAGTCGAATATCTTGCGAACAAGTGGTCCAAATGAGGTGAATTTAAGATTTGTTATAGCTCTTGAGCAGTGTTTCTCAATGAGCATAAAATCAATCAGAGCAAAGCAAAGAAAGATTTTTATTAACTTATTAAGATTTATTAACTTATTAAGAATTAAATTAATATATATATATATTAATGATCCAAACACTTTATATTTATAATTTAGATATTCCCTAATATTTCTTTATTTTGTTAAAAATTGAATTTTGAGTGATTTTGTCAATGACGAAATTTAATTTAGTTTTGATTCATCTATTGGTGAGTTTCAATTCTAAATTCACTAATATTCGCGACATTAAATTATGGATTAAGAAATAATGGACATTTAAGGGTATATCGATCGTAATCGGCGTGATGCAGGAACAGTATATTCATAAACAATAACTTATAATATAATTTAATACCAAATAATTATTACACGGATTCAATAAAAATTAAAAATAAAATAATCTTTTGTTTTAATCTCTCTTTATTTATTATTCATATTTTTAAATACAAAATTATTGATCGTTTTATAAAAGAAAGAAAAAAAATTATCCTTATTATATGGTATTATTATTATAATCTTTAAACTATTTTTAATTATTATTATTCATTTAGCTAATTTAATTATTTTTATTTATTTTATAATTATAATTCTCATTCACTATTCTAAATATTATATTTTTAAATTTATTTTAATATTAATGATTATTGTTATTATTATTTATTACTATTTTCTATTCTAATTATTAAATATTTTTTCTTAATCTATTTAGTGTTTTAAATAAAAATTAAAAATAAATATTATTCTTTTATACAGAAATACATTTAACATCTGTATTATACACTTATAATTGTTTCATTTATTTTATAATTAATTTTCATTATTTTAATTATTTTATTTTGTTTAAATAATATATAAAATATTTTTATTTCTGTATTTTGGGTTTTTTAAGTTGGAGGGAAAGAAAAAGGGAAAAAGGGGAAAGAATGGATAAAGTTATTATTTTAAATATAACTATTTATATATTTATTATTATAAGGATTTATAATTATATTAGAATATTTTATTTATTTAGGAAATAATAATAATTATTGTTATAAGAATATTAATAAGATATATTAGTAAAATATTATAAAATATTAGATATTAATAAAATAATTATTATAAAATATTGGATATTGATAAAATAATTATTATAAAATTTTAATAAGGATTATTTATTATAAGAATATTTATTATAAGAATATTAATAAATTTTATTTAGGAATAATAAAAATAAAATTTTTATAAATTTATTATATATTAATAATTTTATTAATAATTTCTTTACTAAAAATTATTTTTATATTATCAATATCTTATGAATATAAATTTTAATAAATAAATATTATAAAGAAGTTTTATTTAATATTAATTTATAAGGGATAAAAGGTTTAAAAATATGGATTTGGAAATAATGAGTATTTAATGGAATATTGTAGCAAGCGTGTTACGGTCCATAAAAATTTTATATTGAAGGAAATAATTCACACTATTAACACTTTAATTATAAGAAGTATACTACAAAGGATTAAGGGTTTATTTATAACTTTTATTAATAATATGAATCACTCGTAAATTTTTATTAAACTATACTAAGTTTTTACTATTACTAATAAATTTATTTATAAATAATTTATTTACTTATACTAATTATAAAAATTATATTAATTATATTGATATATTGATATCGTTTCAATTATTGATTATTTGTCCTCTTATTTATACTTTTTGGAAGAAGCATAAATAAGATGGCGTAACAAAATAGTGGTTTATTTATTTAATATTTTAATTAGAAATTGAATTAATAATACATTTTAATTATTATTTGTATAAATAATATTATTATATTATTAAATTTAATAAAGTATATTTTAATTATATGTAAATTTCTAATTTTTTTACATGGTTTAGTTTATAATTAGAATCTTTTAGAAATAAATTTTAAATTTAATTGTGGTTAAATCATATATTAATAGAAAAATTAATTTGCTGGCTTAAGTGGTTAATTCAGTATATAAAAATAAAATATAAGTTCAGTTATAAATTAATTTTTGTATTTGTAAATATACATTAATGTAATAAAAATATATAATAAAATATTAATAAAAATATAAGAATAAAAATATAGTGTATAAAATATTGATAATTATACAGAATAAAAATATAAAATAACATATTTTAAGTTATAAAATAATAATATAAAATAATACATTTTAATTATATAAAATAATAATATAAAATAATATATTTTAATTATATAAAAGAATAATATAAAATAATATTGATATTATAATAAGAATATATAAGTTTAATAAAAATATAATATAATAAAAAAATAAAATAAGAATAATAACTGAACCATAAGAATAATATTTTAATAAAATATTGTAAAGACAATAATAATAAGAAATAATTATGTGATTAGTAAAACACTATGATTTTAACTAGAATCACATTTTAAGTTCATTTCTTAACAAGCGAACTCGACAATGGGGTGTTAGCTCAGCGGTAGAGCAATTGACTGCAGATCAATAGGTCTTCGGTTCAAATCCGGAACGCCCCTCTAATTTATTATTTTTTTTAAAAGTTGACTAATAAATAATTTAAAAAATTGTAAAATAAAGTAAAATAAAAAAAAAAAAATTTTTAAAAAAAAAAAAAAAAAATTTGAATAAAATATATATAACAATTTTTAATGTTCAATTAAAAATAATGAAAAAATAAATAAATAAATAAATAAATACAATAATTATATATTATACATATATAATTTAATAATAATGACCATTAAAATTTTACAAAGATATATATATATATATATATATATATAAAATAGATTAAATAATAAAAAAGACAAGGATTTATGGAGAGTGAGCGATTCGAACGCCCAACCTTCCGCTCTGGAGGCGGACGCGCTACCGTTGCGCCAACCCTCCTTGCTTGAAAAACAATGATACAATATTCCCTTAAATACACATTATTTCTAAACCTATATTTTTAATCCTTTTATTCCATATAAACTAACATTTAATAAAACTTCTTTATAATATTATTAATATCTTAAAACATAATAATTTTATCTATATTAAAAATTATTTTTATATTATCAATATTTTATTAATATCTTAAAATAAATTATAAATATTTTATTAATATCAAATAAATTTTATTAATACTTTATAATTAATATTCTTATAATAAATTTTATCAATATTCTTATAATAAATAAATATTATTAATATTTTATATTAAATAAATCCTATTAATATCTTATAATAAATTCTATATCTTTATTAATATTTTAAATAAATCTTATTAATATTTTATAATAAACTTTATATATAATAAATAATATTTTAAATAATATTTTATTAATATCTTATAATAATTATTTTATCAATATCAAATATTTTATAACACTTTATTAATACATTTTATTTATATTCTTATAACAATAATTATTAATATTTCTAATTCTAACCTTTAATAAATTTAATACTTCAATATAATTATAATAATAAATATTTATAATAATAAATATATAAATAATTATAATTAAATAATATTATCCACCTTTTTCCCTTTTTCCCTTATCCTTTCCCTCCAACTTAAAAACCCTGGACAAATACAGAAAATAAATATTCTGTATATTATTAAAATAAAATAAAATAAATAAAATAATAAAAATTAATTATAAAATAAATGAATTATTTATAAAATGTATAATACAGAAGTTAAATGTATTTCTGTATAAAAGTATAATATTTATTTTTAATTTTTATTTAAAACACTAAATAGATTAATAAAATATTTAATAATTAGAATAGAAAATATTAATAAATAATAATAACAATAATAATTAATATTAAAATAAATCTTAGAAAATAATGTTTAGAATAGAGAATTATATTATAAAATAATTAATAATAATTAGATTAATTAAATAAATAATAATAATAATAATAGTCGAAAGACTATAATAATAAAATTCATGTATTATAAAAGGAGGATAATTTTTCTTTCTTTTATAAAACGATCAATAATTTGTATTTAAAAATAAGAATAATAAATAAAAGAAGAGTTAAAACAAGAGATTATTTTATTTTTAATTTTATTGATTCATAGTAATAATTATTTAGTATAAGTTAATTATATTTATTGTTTATGAATATACATGTTTCCTGCATCATTAATTTTACACTTTGAACTAAAATATAAATATAAAATAACAATATTGAAAAATGTGTTCCGAATATTAATGGATTTAAAATTGAAATTCACTAATAGATGAATTGAAACTAAATTAAATTTTGTTATTAACTAAAATCACTCAAAATTCAATTTTTAATAAAATAATGAATATTAGATAATATCTAAATTATAATAAAAATAAAGTGTTTGGACAATTAAGATAAATATATATATCAACTTAATTTAACTCTTAATAAATTAATAAAATTAATCTGAAAAAAAAAAATAACAATAACTCGCCAAATATTGAAGATTTTCCTCCACTTTGCTCTGATTTTATACTCATTAGGAAGCTCTTCTTGAAAACAACAACATATCTGAATTTCAGCCCATTTAGACCACTAGTTCGCGAGATATTGGATTTTAAAGAAAGAAATTTAAATATATAAAAATATAATTTAATTATTTAGAAGGCACACTAAATAGAAAATTATAATTTACATAGATAAAATTTTTAAATCAACAATTATTTTATAAACCATAATAATACAGAATTTACAGAAATAAGCATTATTAATATTTTAAATATTATTTAAAATAATTATAATAGTTTTAGAGAAAATATTATAATAATTATTAATTAATTATTAGCAGAGCTTCTCAATGAGCATAGAATTAATCAGAGCAAAGTGGAGAAAAATCTTGAATATTTGTTGAGTTATCTCTATTTTTCTTCGTATTATTTTTATTAGTTTATTAAGGGTTAAATTAAGTTGATAAATATTTATTTTAATGGTCCAAACACTTTATTTTTACAATTTAGATATTCTCTAATATTCATTTATTTTATTAAAAATTGAATTTTGAGTGATTTAGTCAATAAAGAACTTTAATTTAGTTTCAATTCATATCTATTAATGAGTTTCGATTTTAAATCCACTAATATTCGCGACATTAAATTATGGATTAGGAAATAATGCACGTTTAATGGTACATCGTAGCCAAAAAATTCAATAATGGGGTGTTAGCTCAGCGGTAGAGCAATTGACTGCAGATCAATAGGTCTTCGGTTCAAATCCGGAACGCCCCTTTCATTTTTCATTTTTTTTAAGAATTGATTAATAAATTAATTTATTTTTTTCTCTTAATCTATCTTCCTTAAATAAAGACAATTCCTCAAAAAAATTATCTAAAGAACTATTTGAAATATTATCCATTATTATAAATAAAAGTGTATTTTTTATTAATTATTCTGTTTATTATTCAATTTAAAAAAAAAATTATAAAAATAAAAATATACAATTACTTATTTTATTATTATTGATATTGTTTTTAATTATTATAAATATTTCATGATTAATGAATAAATAATAATGATAATGATAACAATAAGTAAATTTAATTTATTTAATTTATTCATTATTGTTTTTTATTCTTTTTGCTTGTTAATTTTTTTTTGTAAAGATTCCAAGTGGATTAATATTTTTAATTTGAATATTAATCTGAATAAATGTTAGTAGTTAAATGATATATATAAAGTAATTGTGAAATTTTATAATTAACTAATAATTAAATAATCTTATAAAATTTTATTTAGGAATATATTAATAAAATATTGTATTTATATAAATTTATTATAAGATTTAATAAAATATAAGAATATAATTATTATTAAAGATATTAATAAAATTAATATATTTTAACATATTAATAAACATTATAAAGAAGCTCCATTAAATAATTAATTTTATAAAAAATAAAAGGTTTAAAAATATGGATTAGAAAATAATTTAAATTTAATGGTACATCGTAGTCAAAGTGATGCAGGAAACATGTATATTCATAAACAATAAATATAATTAACTTATATACTAAATAATTATTACTAATGAATCAATAAAATTAAAAATAAAATAATCTTTTGTTTAACTCTTCTTTTATTTTTTTTTATTCTTATTTTTAAATACAAATTATTGATCGTTTTATAAAAGAAAGAAAAATTATCCTCCTTTTATAATACATGAATTTTATTATTATAGTCTTTCGACTATTATTATTATTATTATTTATTTAATTAATCTAATTATTATTAATTATTTTATAATATAATTCTCTATTCTAAACATTATTTTCTAAGATTTATTTTAATATTAATTATTATTGTTATTATTATTTATTAATATTTTCTATTCTAATTATTAAATATTTTATTAATCTATTTAGTGTTTTAAATAAAAATTAAAAATAAATATTATACTTTTATACAGAAATACATTTAACTTCTGTATTATACATTTTATAAATAATTCATTTATTTTATAATTAATTTTTATTATTTTATTTATTTTATTTTATTTTAATAATATACAGAATATTTATTTTCTGTATTTGTCCAGGGTTTTTAAGTTGGAGGGAAAGGATAAGGGAAAAAGGGAAAAGAGTGGATAGTATTATTTAATTATAATTATTTATATATTTATTATTATAAATATTTATTATTATAATTATATTGAAGTATTAAATTTATTAAAGGTTAGAATTAGAAATATTAATAATTATTGTTATAAGAATATAAATAAAATGTATTAATAAAGTGTTATAAAATATTTGATATTGATAAAATATTATTTAAAATATTATTTATTATATATAAAGTTTATTATAAAATATTAATAAGATTTATTTAAAATATTAATAAAGATATAGAATTTATTATAAGATATTAATAGGATTTATTTAATATAAAATATTAATAATATTTATTTATTATAAGAATATTGATAAAATTTATTATAATATTAATTATAAAGTATTGATAAAATTTATTTGATATTAATAAAATATTTATAATTTATTTTAAGATATTAATAAAATATTGATAATATAAAAATAATTTTTAGTATAGATAAAATTATTATGTTTTAAGATATTAATAATATTATAAAGAAGTTTTATTAAATGTTAGTTTATATGGGATAAAAGGTTTAAAAATATGGGTTTAGAAATAATGTGTATATAAGGGAATATTGTATCAAAAGAATTCAACGATGGGGTGTTAGCTCAGCGGTAGAGCAATTGACTGCAGATCAATAGGTCTTCGGTTCAAATCCGGAACGCCCCTCTTAAATTTTATTTTTTTCTTAAAAATTGATGAATTAATAATTTAAAAAATTGAAAAATAAAATAAAATAAAAAAAAAAAAAAAAAAAAAAAAAAAAAACATATATATAATTATTTATTTTTAATATTTTTACTTTATTATTTTTATTTATTATTATTATTATTATTACTATTATTATTATTATTATCTATTCACTCATCATGAAATATTTATAATAATAAATAATAAAATATATAATAATAATAATAGTGATAATAGTAATATATAATAAAATATGTAAAATCAGTCTAAATCAGAGAGTTAATAACTTTATTAAGAATATTGATGTTTATTATTTATAATATAATATTTAGAATAACGAATTATAATTATAAAATAAATAATAATAATTAGATTAATTAAATGAATAATATTAAATAAAATAGTTTAAAAGATTATAATAATAAATTTATGTAATATAAAAGGAGGAAATTTTCTTTTTTTTTTATAAAAATGAATAATAGTTTTATAGTTAAAATAAGAATAATAAATAAAAGAGATTTAAAAACGAAACTTTATTTTATTTTTAATTTTATTGTATCCTTGTAATAATTATTTAATATTAAGTTATAAATTATATTGTTT